AAAATTTTTAATAGGTCATTTGCTAAAAGGTTACTGATTTTATACTTCATTTCTTTCTTACATAATAAGTAATTATTTGCATTAGCCATATTTTTTGGAAATTAATACAGAATAGCTTAAAAATGGACTTTTTTCTTTTATTTGGAAAATATGCTCTTAAGACAAATTCATGTTTTCCATTCACTGTTGTAATGTTATATTTCTCCCCAAAGCTACAATTTACAAAGACTGGATTCATTTTTAGACAAGATAGTAGGAGCTATGGAAAGTCTTTTTATTTTTCATTGAGTTTATTAGTACTTTTAAAGTATAAAGTACAGTTACATTCATCTTTGGGATCTTGTACCTTTACATGACAAATCTTGGTTCTCATTTTTAACCCATACCCCTACCCTCCCTTCATTCCCTCTGCCCGCCCCTATTTACAGTTTGTTTCCATTTTTTTCCTTTTCTCATATCTTTTCTTTTCCCTTATTTCCTTTTTCCTACCCTTTCCACTTCCCCTAAACCTTTACCCCCTTTCTTCCTATTTCACATTGCCAGTTATACAATTTGAATCTTATTTATATTTTTAGTTTTTCACACCAGAGAAACTATTTGGTATTTACACATGTGTGTCTTATTTCACTAATGAGTATGACCTCAATATGCATTCATTTTCCTATGAATGACTCTAGTTTCTCATTCCTTAAGGCTGAAGAGTACACCATTTTATAGAAAAACCACATCTTCTTTAGCCAGTATACAACTGATGGGCAATTGGACTATTTCTAACTATTACATTACTATTACAAACTGTGCCAACACCATGATTAAAGAGGCTATCTTTCCTCCACTGAGTATGGTTGGCTCCTTTGTCAAAGATGAGGTAGCTTAATACATCTGGAATTGCTTCTGTATCTTCCAATCTGCTCCACTAAACCTCAGGTCTTTTTCTTTGCCAGTACCATGCTGTTTTTATCATAGTGGCTTTGTAGTACAGTTTCAAGTTGGGGATTGTGATACCTGCTGACATGTCTCTGTTGCCTAGAACTGGTTTTGCTATTCTAGGTCTCTTGTGGTTCCAAATGAATTTTTGGATTATTTCTCTAGTTCTGTGAAATATACTGTTGGAATTTCAATCAGGATTGCATTGAATCTGTAGAGCAGTTTTGGTGGTATGACCATTTTCACAATGTTGATTCTTCCTACCCAGGGGCAGGGAATATCTTTCCATTTTCTTATATCCTCTTCGATCTCTTTTTTCAGAATGCTGTAGTTTTCAGTGTAGAGGTCTTTTGCTTCTTTCATTAGATTGATTCCTAGATATTTCTTTTTTTTTTTTTTTTTTTTTTGGTTACTGTTGTGAATGGAATTGTTTCTCTAATTTCTCTCTCAGTGAGCCTATTATTTGTGTATAAGAAGGCTACTGATTTTTGAGTGTTGACTTTGTAACCAGCTACTCTGCTGAATCTGTCAGTTAAGTCTAGAAGCCTTTTGGCAGAGTTTTTTGGGTCTTCTATATAGAGTATCATATTGTTAGCAAACAATGACAATTTAACTTCTTCCTTTTCTATCTTTATTGCTTTAATTTCTTTCTCTTCTCTAATTGCTGTTTCCAGTACTACATTGAACAGGAGTGGTGATAGTGGGCATCCTTGTCATTTTGCAGATTTTAATTTGAAGGTTTTCAGTTTTTGGCCATTTAATATGATGTTGGCTGTTGGTTTTTCATAGATAGCCTTTATGAAGTTGAGATAAAGACCATCTATTCCAATTTTCTGCAGAATTTTTAACATGAATGGGTGTTGAATTTTGTTAAATGCCTTTTCTGCATCTATTGAGATGATCATATGGTTTTTGTCCTTGACTTTATTAATACAGTGTATTACATTTATTGATTTACGTATGTTGAACCATCCTTGCATCCCTGGAATACATCTGACTTGGTCAGCATGTATGACCTTCTTGATGACCCTCTGTATTCTGTTTGCCAGTGTCTTATTAAGGAAATTTGTATCTATATTCATTAAGGAGATTGACAGATAGTTCTCTTTTTTGGTTGGGTCTTTCCCTGGTTTTGGAATCAAAGTAACACTTGCTTCCAGGAATGAATTAGGAAGTATTGCTCCCCTTTCAATTTCACTGAAAAGTTTAAAGAGTAGTGGCAGTAGTTCTTCTCTAAATATCTTGTAAAATTCAGCAGTGAATCCATCAGGAACTGGCCTTTTCTTCATTGGTAAACTTTTAATTACATTTTCAATTTCACTGATTGTAATTGGGGTGTTTAGAATTTTTTTATCTTCTTCATTTAACTTTGGTAATTCATAAATTATATGGAAATCTGCCCATTTATTCTGAGTTTTCCATTTTATTAGAGTACATGTTCTCAAAATAGGTTTTTGTGGTCTTCTGGATTTCTGCTGGATCTGTTGTGACTTCACCTTTTTCGTTCCTGACTGCATGCATCTGAGCCTTTTCTTTCCTTTTTGACCAGTTGGCTAAGGGTTTATCAATTCTATTTATTCTTTCAAATATCAACTCTTTGATTCATTGACTATTTTTGTATTGTTCTCTTAGTTTAAATTTCACTGATTTTTGCACTGATTTCTGCTCTGATCTTTAAAATTTCCTCCCTTGTAATGAGCTCTGGGTTTCTCTTGCTGTTTTTCTAGTAGTGTAAGATTCATCATTAGGTTGTTTATTTGAGGTTGCTCTGTTTTCCTAGTGTGGGCATTCACTGCTATGAATTTTCAAAGTAAAACTGCCTTCATTGTATCCCATATATTTCTGTATATTTTATTGGCATTATCATTTATGTGTAAAAACTGACTAATTTCTTCTTTAATTTCCCCTGTAATCCACTGATTATTCAGAAAAATGTTGTTCAATTTCCATGTATGTGTGAAGTTCTTATGGTTTCTTATGCTATTAATCTCCAGCTTAATTTTACTATGGTCTGATACTATACATGGGATAATTTTGATTCCTTTGCATTTATTTAAAACTGTTTTATAAGCCAGTGTGTGGTCCATTTTGGAGAATAACCCATGTGCAGCTGAAAAGAATGTATATTCTGATTTTGTGGGATGGAACACTCTGTAGATGTCTATTATGACCATATGTTGAAAAGCTTGGTTCAGTTCTAGTATTTTGTCTTTGATTTTTTTGTCTAGGCTGATAATATGATACTCTACATTGAAGACCCAAAAAACTCTACCAAAAGACTTCTAGACTTAACTGACAGATTCAGTAGAGTAGCTGGATACAAGGTGAACACCCAAAAATCAATAACCTTCTTATACACAAATAACAGACTCACTAATAGAGAAATAAGAGAAAAAATCCCTTTTGTAGTAGCACCCAATAAAATGAAGTATCTAGGAATCAATCTAACAAAAGAAGCAAAAGATCTCTATACTGAAAACTATAGCAATCTGAAAAAAGAAATAGAAGAAGATATAAAAAAAATGGAAAGATGTCCTCTGCTTCTGGGTAGGAAGAGTCAGCATAGTGAAAATGGCCATACTAACAAAACTGCTATACAGATTCAATGCACTGCCAATTGAAATTCCAACACTATATCTCTCAGAAGTAGAAAAAAGATTCCAAAAATTCATTTGGAACTGTAAGAGACCTAGAATAGCAAAAGCCATCCTAGGCAACAGACACATGGGAGCAGGTATAACAATTCCCAATTTGAAACTATACTACAAAGCCACTGTGATAAACACAGCATGGTACTGGCAAAGAAACAGATCTGAGGATCAGTGGAACAGATTGGAAGACACAAAAAACAACTCCAGATGTACTCACCTACCTCATCTTTAACAAAGGAGCTGACCATCCTCAGTGGAGGAAAGATAGCCTCTTTAATAAATGGTGTTGGAAAAACTGGATCTCAATCTGTCAAAGATTAAAACTAGACCCTTATCTCTCACCATGCACTAAATTAAAAGCCAAGTGGATTAACAATCTAAATATTAAAACAGAAACACTAAACTTGCTGGAAGATAACTTAGGCAGAACTCTTGAAGACAATGGCATAGGAAAAGACTTTAAGAACAAATCCTCAGTAGCCCCGGAACTAGCAGAAAGAATCAATAACTGGGATCTCATCTTATTAAAAAGCTTCTGCACTGCAAAAGAAACCATTAACAGAACTAAGAGACAACCTACAATATGGGAAAAAATTTTTACCAGCTGTTCCTCAGACAAAGGACTATTATCTAGAATATATAAAGAACTCAAAACAATCAGCCCCCTCAAATATAATGACTCAATTAAAAAATGGGCATCTAACAGACATTTCTCAGACAAAGAAGTAAAAACAGCAAGTAAATATATGAAAAAATGTTCCACATCACCGATCATTCCAGAGATGCGGATGAAAACAACACTGAGATCCTACCTCATCACACAAAGAATGGCTGCTATCAAGAAATCACACAATAACAAATGTTGGCCGGGCTGTGGGGAGAAAGGAACCCTTCTCCATTGTTGGTGGGAGTGCAGACTGGTGCAACCACTATGGAAATCAATATGGAGATACCTCAAAGAGCTTGGACTAGAGTTTCCATTTGACCCAACCATCCCTCTGCTGGGTATCTTTCCAGAAGAACTAAAAGAATCATATCACAGTGAAGTATGCGCACCCATGTTTATAGCGGCACAGTTTGTAATAGCTAAAACTTGGAAACAGCCCATTTGCCTATCAGTTGGAAACTGGATAAAGAAGATGTGGTTTTTCTATAAAATGGAATATTACTCAGCCATAATTTTTTGTTTTTTGTGACAGGGTCTCACTATGTAGTTGAAACTGGCCTGGATCTCACTATGTACACAGACTGGTCTCAAATTCACAGCAATCTTCCTGCCTCAGCCTCCCTATTGCTGGGATTATAGGCGTGCGCCACCACATCTGGCTCTCTTATTCTTAAAGTATACTGATTATTCTTAAAGTATACTCTGAAATAAGCATTGCTTTAAGAAGATGTAATAAATAAATGACTATTCCTCTATGTTATTTTTATATTATTATAATCAATGGATAAATAAGACTTCTCAGATTGATTAAATGATGTGTTGATAAATTTGAAGCTATTTTATATAATTTAGGGGCAAATGAAACAAAAGTAAAATAGTTATGATGACAAGGGCATACAGCCTCACAACTGTCTTTTAATCTTTTTCATTTGCTGTAAGTTACATAAACCAGAGTGTATTTTTGTCAATTTTCTGTGGCTAATTTAAATAATCAAAATGTTTGACAATGTCAATTTATAGTCAAATTTTTTTCTTGAAAGATTTTGGTTTCCTATTAACTCTCCAATTATAGTTTTGCCAGAATCTAAATTGCCTATCTACCATTTTATTCAATTTAATTCACATTAAGCAGCTGTATATGATTGTCTCAGTATTAGGTAATAATCCTACAGGCAGTAGTGAACCAGACAGAGCTCAAGGCAAAAGTGCTTTCAAGAAAATGGGTTGTAAATGACACAAGCCCTGTTGTTTTTCTCCTGTTCCTTTTGGTAGATGATAGGCTCCATGTTTTCCTGTAGATGTGAAGTATTCCTACAGGTGATAAAGAAAAGAGTTAGTTACAGTTTGACATGTAGCTAACTCCTTTAACTTGTGAGTATCAAGCATTTTGTCTCAGCAATGAGGCAGTAACTAAGACACAAATGGAATTATAACACAATCTAATGAGCTCTGGGATTAATTTGGAGCATTTAGAAGTGTGTTTATCTAAGCCACTAAGTCATGGATAGCCAACACAGCCAAGTTAGGAAATGAAAAGTATAGATACTGACAGAAGAGCAGGAAAGGAGAGGGTAGGCGATTTGATGGAGAAGGAAGTATTAAAAACTGAAGGACAGTGGAGCTAAAGGCCTCCCTGGAAAGAAAACTTGTCAAATTAGGGAAACCAAAGTGAAATCTCAATGAGTCTGTGCAGGGAGGACATAGGGATCAATAAAGGGAGTGGTGACCAAATGAGGAGAGGACAGAGTGAAGTCAGAACAGCCCTACCAAGAAGGGACTTCTAGACCATTCAGATCATTCAGCCATTAATGTTTCAGGGAAGGATTTTTAGCCAGGATACTACACAATGAGATTTGTATTTTTAGGGAGATGAATTTGGCTGCACAATAGGGGATACAATGGTGAAGGGCTGGTACATACCATTAAGAATCTGTCACACGTGGACAATCAGATGGCTTCCAACTGCCTCTCTTGTTCTCAGACACTGCCTTGTTCCTGAGAAGTGATAGTACTGACTTACTGCTCTGGTCAAGTTATTCCTCTTTCAGTCTGCATGATCAAGAAGAACTACTAAAGCTTTTGGTGGTCTCATCAAAACTCATTTCTCTTACTAGAAAGCTTCCACCATTGTATTTGAGCCATGTGTTCAAAATTTTGCAAAGAATGTCACTCATTGTCAATTACAAAGAAAATCAGAATTTTGAACTCAGTCTGCCATTTAATAACTCCTCTGTATCTGCCTCCATATATTTAAATATGGATTAATAATAGGAATATTCCCCTTTCAGGGTGGTTGAGAGGATTATGTTAATGGAAAAGGCCTCACATAAAGTATGCATTATGATAAAACATATTTATTATTTATAACCAATCTGCTCTTTCATGCAGTTCTATATGAGACTTGAGTTTTCTCATGTGAATGTCATCTATTCTCCCAATCACCTAATCAAAACAACTTTAAGCCATATTTAGGTTATCGACACAAAAGATATAATCATAAATCAAATGTTGCAATAAAAAATACTATCCAACAAGGACAGGGATTTAGGGCAGTGGTTCCGCCACCTGCCTTAAAGGGCAAGGACCCGAATTCAATCCCTTGTACTCAAGCAAACAAACAAATAAAGCTGACTAAATATTTGATGCGATTAAAAAAATAATATCCAGCATCTCCAAAGATGCAAATGAATAAAGAAACACATAAGTACTCATCTTCATTAAAGAAATATTAGGTATGATTAAGGCGATGTAGTTTAAAGGGGGTTTTGCAGTCTCAAACACACATAGAAAATTAACCTCATGTGCAGTTAACAGCAGGGATATAAGTTAGAGCTAGAAAAGGAATATCTTCTCTTTCTTCATTAAATCTACATTTATTCTCATTTGAATAGTGCAATAGCTGTTGTGTTTATAATTCTAAAATAATTTATTATAGTAAGAATATGTTTGAATTTGTGAAACTGTTTAGAAATTTTGAAGACATATGAAATAAATTTCATCCTTATGTTATCGAACATGAGGAACATTTAAAACTGTCTTAACAGGATGGAGATTTAACTCAGTGGTTCTGCCGCCTGCCTTGCAAGCACAAGGACCTGAGTTCAATCCCCAGTGCCAAAAAAACAAAAACAAAACCAAAACAAAACAAAAAAGACTGTCTTTTTTTGGGGGGGATGAGAATAGGACCATATTTTACAATATATTTAAGGTGAAGTTTCTTAACTTTCCCTTGCAAACTTTAGTACATACAAAATAATCCCTTTTTATATGCAGACACTATAGTTCTTGCAAAAATCATTCTAACTTGTGTCTGTCACACTTTTATTATCTGAAGGTTTTCTGTAATATCTTGTTTTTCCTCTTCACTTTTTATTGGTGCATGTTTACAGTGTGTAATATGCACATTCCTTGTGTGGAGCTGATGCATGTAAATACCTTTCCATCCCCTTTCCCTTCCCTTCATCTCTTGATCATCCTTACTGTTTGACAAAGATCTATCTCTCTACTTTCCATTATCCTTTATTCTATTATTCATTTATACTTTGGGTTACTCATACAAGAGAAACCACATGCTGTTTAAGCGTGTGTGTGTGTGTGTGTGTGTGTGTGTGTTATTTACTTCACTGTTGGGATCTCAAGGTAGAGTCATTTTCCTACAAATGACTCAATTTTTTTTTGTGTGTGTGTGTGTGTGTGTGTGACAGTAGTACTCCATTGTATGTAAAGACCACATTTTCTTTATTCATTCATCTGTTGATGGACATATTCTTCTGTGATATTGTCAAAATGTTTATGTGACTTTGAAAATGATGTTAGTTCTGCTTTTTTAATTATATATGTGAAAATTTATGATACACTATGTGACCTAACATGTTCGGGTAAAATTACAGAGCATTGTTGTATTGCCCATATTTTCTTGCATATTAATAGTAAACACTTAAGACTTTAAAAGTTTTCCCACAGATCTGGAAAAAGGCATAAAATCTTGAAATATAGTTCATAATTTTGGTGATAACCAAAATTATTAAAGTTGCCTTTGGCAACTCTTCTAAATATTTATCAATGAACCATAGTATACATCTTAACAGTTTTCTTGAGTACTGTCTGTCCTAATCCATTATGTTATGATTAAATTGTGAAATATAAACTTAGTGCAACTATTTCTTCTCGCTCTATGTCATACCTGAGGGTATGTACAGTTAATTGAGACTGAGCATAAAAAGACATATTCTTCTAAAAGACTGTATAATTATTAGATATGGTTGGGAAATTTGACTTTGATCTTCATTGCAAGTTAAGTGTACTCAGTCAATGTGAGTTATGAAATCAGACTTCCTGAGTTTCTCTGTGAGCTTGTATATGTTATCTTGATTGGCTTTGTCTCCATTTTTCATCCATAACAAGGGAATAAAGTAGGTTATTTTGAGCAAAAAGAGAGGTAATCCAGATAAAGTTCTTAGCAAATAACATAATATACATTAATAAATGTATATTTTATTTATTTACTTTCCTAGTTATTGGGACACAATACTCACACCCACAATTTAAGGGAGAATGGGTTTTTTGGATTATGTCTTTTTTAGATGTTTCAGTTTGTAGTCAGCTGGAAGGAGGCATGGCAGAGGGACATAGAAGAGGAGAGCTGCTCAGGGCACAGAGGACAGGAAGCAGAGACAGAATAGAGGAGCAGGGAAAGAGACAGACCCCTCCAGGATATGCCCCCAGAGACCCATCTCCTCTAACCAGGCTTACCCTCCTCTGACCTGGCCTCACTTCATAACATCACATTTGGCCATAAACTCATCAGTGGATTGTTGTCACTCATCATGGATTGTCCATGGCACTGTGTTCCATCACCTCCCAGAAGCCCTATGCATGAGTCTATGAGGCTTTGGGGGTAACTAGATATAAACTCTAACAATGGCAAAGAGGGTACAATGTTACCATATATGACATTATATGAATCAGGTGCAAGGTTATCAGTACATTAAAATAGCACTTTAGCTAGATCTCCATTTAATTTTTAGCAAATAACATGGTACTATATATACATTAATATATGGTAAAGAGGGAATTGCAATCAGGTACAATGAATTCAGTACATTAGAATAGCACTTTAGCTACATCTCCATTTAATATACATAACATTTTCTGAAACTGTGCTCTGGATTAAATGAATTTTGAGAGATGTTATGATTCTAATGTTTTATGAGAAGTCCTGTGAGGAACACTTGATGGCAGTTGTTGGTACTTGCTGAAACTATAAACATTGTCATGGTGAAAGGACCAAAAAAATCCCACCCTACCGGAGCAAATGAACCCAGAACATATGTGATAGTTTACATGTGTGAACAATGCATGGTATGCAAAAAAGACTGAAGGATTGTTTTAGTCAGCTTTCCAGCATGCAATATATACCTGAGATACATCAACTTATAAAGAGAAAAGGGCTACTTTGGCTCATGGTTTTAGAAGTTTCAGTTCATGGTTAATTGGTGCATTGCTTTGGCCTGTGACAGGAACTGCATCAGGGAAGGAGTGTAAAGGAGGGCAAAACCACTTATCTTATTCCCAGGAGTCAAAAGAAATGGTGTGGCAGGGGCAGGGCCCCTCATCTGGGTTGAGGGAACACATGATTGCCTGAAGCCCTTCCACTGGGACCCACATCATAAGTTTCACCGCCGCCAGCATCCAATGGGGCCAAGCTGGAACCAAGCTCGTAGCACATGAACATTCAGAGGAAAGTCTAGATCCAAACTACAGCTGACCTCATATGGCACAGGTTTTGCTTGTTTGTTTTGCCTTTTTTTTGTGTGTGTGTTTGCATATGTTACTGAAAAAGACAAATTAGAATGAGAATCTGAAATTGTTTTAAATGTCTTTTATATCAAGGACATGGCAGGACATATAGTATATTTTTAAGTATACATGAATGCAAAATACAACAATAAAATATAAAGGGAATCTAGGTCTGAAATTTTCAAGACCCTGGAAACTATCAGCTTTAAATGGTGACGTGGTGTGGTTGCAAAATAGTTGTATTTGCAGATCAGATCCTAAAGGGGGCACAGATCAGCGGCTACAGCTAGGAATAGAAGTACTAATAGGAACAACACAAAAGAGAAATAAAGTCGCCAAGAGCTATAGAATAGGTTAGTGTCAGCATTATTTGATGGAAGGAATGAAAATGTCAGTGCCACTTCTGCCTCTGAATTTTACTAACTGTATTGTGTTGTAGAAGATAATATGTTTGGGTCTCAGTCTTTTTATCTGTAATTTGAATAAGACCGTTTTTTGGCTATTTTCATCTAAGGCTTTAATAAATAATAATTTAAGGGGACCAAATGAGTAGGCTCAATAATACTACTGAATAAATGTTAACAGCACATAATTCTGGAAATGGTGCATAAGAAATCACATATCAACCTCAGAACTGTCAAAAGTGAAGCAAGACCATGCAAAAAGAAAGTGATGTGGTCTAGCACAGTGCCTAACAACCTAGGTTGTTTTCAAAAATATTTATATCCCTAAATGTACCAATAAACTCAATAAAAAAAATATTTATAGCAAGAAACTGTAATTCATTTAAATTGTGGTGGAGCAAGGCATAATTTTAAATGCTCTGAAGTATGTGTGGCCAGGTTTGAGAACCAATAGTGTAAACAGCAACACAGATGCAGTTCACAGTGGCACTGTGATTTCTGGGAAAGTTAAAATACTCAGACTTTATTCTACAATATTAGAAAAAAGTTCAGATTTTAAGAAATCCCCACTAATGCATTTTGCTTTAGCCATTGTATTTATTTCTAAGCATTTGTCTGTGTGTGAAGTAGTGGTCTACAATTCATCAGGCATAACACGTGAAAGAAAAGTGGTAGCATAAAAAGAATATGAGAGACGCTACCTAAATTGACTACTATTTATTTTGAAACCACATAAGGTATTTATTATCTTTTGCTAATTCAATTTTATCTTTTTCATCAGAAATCTAGATT